AACCCCTAAACTCTCCACCCTAAACCCTCGGGGCTTGGGGGTCTAGGGTTTAGGGGTTTGGGGCTTAGGGCTCACACCTCTTTAAACTGAAGGGCCTTGGGGCGTTGAGGCTTTGAGTTCAGGGCTCAGGGCTTTTGAGTTCAGGGTCTTAGGGTTTTGAGGATTTGAAGGTTTTAGAGCCATTTTAGGGTTCAGGGCTTTAGAGATTTTAAGGTTTTAGAGCCATGTCAGGGTTCAGGGCGTTAGAGATTCGAAGCTTTTAGGTTTTTAGGCTTTGAAGGTCTTAGGGTTCGGGGCGTGCTTTGCCTTCAGGTCTGTGGGGTTCTACATGCATACTAGGGGTTTGGGATGTGAGGCTTTCGGGTCTACCCGAAACCCTACTCCCTACACCCCGAAACCCCAAAAACCCTAAAACCCCAAAAACCCTAAACCCGAAACCCCAAACCCTGAAACCCTGAAACCCTTAACCCTAAACCTTGCAACCCCTACACCCCGAAACCCTAATAAACCCTCCTAAAACCCTAGGTTTCAGTGACGTTCAGCGCTCCAAACCTTCGTAAAGGCAGCCAGAAGGTCGGCGGCAGGGCTGAGGGGTTCAGGGGGCTTAGGGGTTCAGGGGTTGAAGGGTTTAAGGGTTCAGGAGTTTAGGGTTTAGGGCTTGAGGGTTTAAATAGGGGTTTGGGGTTGAGGGTTTAAACAGGGGTTTAGGGGTTTAGGGGCTTTGGGTTTAGGGGGTCTAGCATGATCAGCAACTGCGGAACCGTCCACGCCTTGTGCCGGACAAGCTTCGGAAGCCGTCGCTGCTTCCCAGCCAAACCAGGTCAAAAGACCCCATAACGGTAAATACCTTACGGCTCAATGCTTGGGGTTTAGGTTTAGGGGTCTATGGGATGTTCTGTCTACGTCAAAGCGCAAGGAATCTGATCAATCGTGTCATGGGTTTCACGGTTCTGAGCTGCACATGTAGGCGAACAATCGGAGTTTACGTGTTGGGGGAACCCCTAAACCCCGAAACCCTAAACCCCTAAAGCCCCTCAACCCCTAAACCGCTAAACCCCAAAACCCCTAAACTCCTAAACCCCGAAACCCCTAAACCCCTACTATAGGCCCTATTAAAACCTTCTAAACCCGATGGAACCCATAGAGCCCGCACCCTCCAAACCCTCCAATCCGCACATGGGTAGTTCTCCAAGTTACTGCCCTTTTTTGGGTGCCATTTATGATACTATATCGGGGGACCCACCCAAAATGGGGCCCTACTTTAGAGAACTACCCACATAGAAACCAGATGGTAGCCTTTGACACTCAGAGGCCTTCGGCCAAAGAGCGCCGTACCCAAGATCTCTTGGGCTTGTGGTGGGTTTAGGGCAGTTCAGGGTTTGGGGTTTCGGGGGCTTTAGGGCGGTTTAGGGTTTAGGCTTTGGGCTATAGGGATGTGGTAGCTCGAATCAGTGGAAACCCACACATCAAGATTATGCCTTCAAAATCACCACAAAAACACGTCAGAAACCGAACAACTCGCTCAACGCACGTCGTAGATGCGTAGGGCAAATCCCGAACGTCCGCGACATCCGGCAGCCTCGGCAGATACTGATAACACTGAGCATTACGATGGTGGCCTCTGACAAGTCCGTCTGGACGTTGAAACGCACATGCACACATGCAAACACACATACATACACAAGTCCGCACAAGCTTTCGCACACGCACGTATGATTCTGTGCAATCCAGCGACAATAATGCAGGAAGCAGCAAAGATGTCCGCAACACCCGTGCTTGGGCCGAAAAACATCGAAAAAGCAATCACGAGCGACTTGCACAAGACGTTCATGATGCCTTGCCATGCTCGCAGAGGAGCGATGGATTTTTCTGCCACCACTCATTGCCTGTGGCACATTGCACATCGCGAGGCACCTTGCGCAATCCTGAGTCGATGGCTATTTGGGCCAAGGGTTTCCGTGCGCACTTGTTCGACCCCATCAGCTTCACAAATTTCAGATACTAGGCCAAATCTCCAGTTCCCGAAGCCTGCAGCCACAGAGTACGGGCTGCAGATCTGCGAGGTGCCGTCATGGGTGCTCTGTGCATGGCGACGTGTTCTTGAGGCCTTCAGCTGAAAGCGCTCAGCTTATCCGGACAGAATGAGAGGGAATCAACTGTGCAGCCTGGCTTGCCGAAGCATGTCAGTTTAGTGCTGGCTTCCAGCATCGATGTTCGAATTGCTGGAAACGAGACTAGCGACTGGAGTTTCCAAGGTATGGAGACTAGACCGGACTGGAACCTACAAGAACCTGCTTGCAAGGGTCTCAGGGCATTTTCTGCAACGTCGAATCCCTCAAGATTCCCACTTTTTTTCGGCTCCATCAGCTGGTCCCTGTGCGGAGTACACCGTTTCACCGACTGCCATGGGCTCAAACCTGAGCTCACCGCGGTGCTCTCCGAACCCGTAACGGTTTAGGGTTTAGGGTCCCCTAAACCCTAAGCCCAGAGTACGGTTCCATACATCCACCGAGCCACCGTCAACCGCGGCGGGGTCTTCGTCGGCTTGAAGCTTTGTATTGCGAGCCGTTTGGCCAGGGAGCGGCAGCAACATTCGTGACTTGAAAGGACAGGGTCTGCACTCCCCCTCCCAGACCTTCCGATGCTTCAGCAAATAAACCCTAAGCCCTAAACCCTAAACCCCGAAACCCCGAAACCCCTAAACCCCTAAACCCTAAACCCTAAACCCCTAAAGCCTAAACCCTAAACCGGGGTCTTTCCGTTCTTGTCGATGGCATTGACATCGCAGCCGGCCCGGGAGGCCGGTGCCGCACATGAGAAGAGGGAGGAGGGTTTAGGGGTTTGCTACGACAACAACTACTGCTACTACTACTAC